TTTATCTGTTTTGAATTATTTTAAAATTATGTTTTTACTGGATGGTATATGGAATTCATGGGCTAAAGACTACTTTTCATGATTTCTTTGTATCTCATCTCACTTTTGTTTGATTTCTAATATTTTATTACTATTATTTCATAAATGGTTCACAGTCTATTTCAATATGTTCTATTTTTAGTCCTAGTATATTGTCAATAATACATTTATGATTTTGAATTAAAGTAATATGACTTTTAAGTATATATGCATTATTTGTCCAAGCCACTTTTAAAAATTTTAATTTAAAAAATTAATCTGGACATGAACTTTTATAGTGTAGATGTTAAGAGCCTCAATTTTTAATTTTAATAAAATTGAGGTGATCATATATTGTCCATCATTCTACATTTCAATCTGTCATATATGGGAGGTGCCCTTTAATATCTTTCTGCTTTTTTGTAATTACTTTTGATTTATCTAAGTATTCATAAAATTTATATAATTCCAGAAGGAATCCATGTTTAATCATGTTGTATGACACCTAGAACTAATTTTCATCAAGTGCCAAGAACAAATATTAGTGTTGGTACATAGAGAGGAGTGTTCACATTTTTAGAGTTTGTTTTTAATCTCTATTAAAATTTGACAGAATGCATTTGGGAACAAAGAACTGCACATACTCCACATTTCATTCCCATTATCCAAAAATTGCTGGAAGGTAAATAAATGGATACCTTTTGATTTAGCAAATTAATATATATTGTTACTGAGTTGAAATGACTTAATAGAACATTACAAACTTATTTTTACTTGGTTACAAATAAATTATTAAGCTGCCAGAGATTGCCTTTAAATCAACCTTGTACATAAATGTACTGAAAGACGGATTTCAAATAGCAGCTTTGTTGACTCAGCCCTTCATCCCAGAAAGTCTCCCATGAAGAGAAAGGTCTTTATATTGCTCAAGAGGACCAAGGTTTCTGTGGATATCTCCACCATTAACAATAATACATATGTGTTTCTACTGTTTGGTTAAAAGAGAAATTAATATCTATGAAATAACAAATAGTAGAATGTGGAGAGTTTAACATTACCACAAAATGCACCATGTGCAAATTCAGAAGGAATGACAAAATTAGATTCATTTGGAAAAGTAGACACCTAATGCCCCCATAAAAAGTCCAATTTAATTTCAAAAGAAAATCACACAATTTCTTGATTCAGATTTCTCATCCATGTAGTGAGAACATTTGATTTGGCCATTATGGCAGTTCTCCGTGGGAATATTGGATATGAAAAAGGATATTTCAATATCCATAAAGACTTTACACATAAAATTACTCCTCAAGAAATTAAGTGAATGGAACATATACAAACCTGTCTACAAATTTCTACTCTAGATGTTATCATTTTTCTAGGGGGAAAAAATGTATCTATGGAGCAACTAAGAGGGAATTATCTGTGTCACTGTCTGGACAGTTGATTATACATATAGAAGTGACCCATTTTGACTGTAGAGAAATTTTATATGTTTGTGTTATATAGAGCATAAAACACATATATATCACATGCACAATTTAAAGATTTCTTAGGCATTTCTATCAAAATATGCCTTAATTTAATGTAAAATTGAAAAAAATGAGTAAGCCTACTTATGCTCTGCATAAAAGAATGGTTCGTTATTATTTTTTCAACCTAAGCTCAGTAGTTGGTGATATATTTAATCTCACCCTAAAGAAAACGTGAGTAGTAGCCAGGGAAATTAGTTGGGTAACCTTAGTAAGTCATTCAATCTGTCTTTCAGTTATGCCTACATCACAGGGTAGCCTCACAGATGAAATGAAGATAGAAAAAGGGATTTGGAATAATAAAGCAACATATAAATGCAAGATAGTGTTGCTTTTTTGTTGTTGTTGTACTGTGAAATTGAACCATTAGAAATCCTATACTTAACATTATACTCAGCCATATAACATAGTTTTTTTGAAACCCTCATTCTGGATAATACATCTTTTGTTCTTACTAGTATCATACACTACTCCCCATTAAAAAGGATACGCTGAACTCAGTAACCTAAGGCTTTTAATGCTATAAAAATAAATGTAGATTATCAACCTGTTTAAGGACTATGTTGCTATACTTCTGTTAATTACTTTTTAAAACTCCATTCCTGGAACTTACAAGTCATCCATCCATATATTTAGTGTTTCCTCCTCCAGAAAGTAGCATATAAGAACTGTGTGCCACTACTGTGTAAGCTTGTTACAGCCAGGGATTTTTGTTTAAGTTCATTTCCATGTTGGCTAAAATTTGATGAATGAATGGTCAACTTTACTCTTCTAAGTTTTAGATGTGAATTCATTTATTCATTCATTTAACAAATGCTTAATTGTGTCCATTCTAATGACCTGAGGCTTCCTAATCAAAAAGGAGAAATAGATGCAAAGATATAAATCAAAGATGTACTTTAAAGTAGGAGTCTGTATGGTGAGATGGAATCATAGAAATGAAATTACTTATAGGGAGATTAGAAAAGTCTTGAGAAGGTGACAAATTGAATCTTGGACAATGAATATGAATTTTGATCCAGGATAATATTTCAGTATTTTCTGAGGTGCTAATAGTACTGAAAAATAATGCTTCATGGGCCTCTTGCATTTCTACATTTCTTACTAATAGCACAGATTACCTGCCTTTGGGAGTATCTTTCAATGTATGTGTATAGCAAACAGCCCTCAGAAAAAGAATTAGTGTCTCCCTTTGGAATAGGAATCCTCTTAACACCCATTATGATATATTCAGGTTCCCCAAGCACAGGTTCTGTCATACTCTGGGAACTGGTGCAAGAAAATATTGATGTTCTGGCTACTGCTATTAATGTGAGTTATAAAGCCTTTTTTCTCTGATTCAAGAGTTACATATCTTCTGCCAACATCCGTAAAACTATGGCAGCTAATAGCTGGATACAACTTACTTATGAACATAGAGGGTAAAATCTCACCCTTCACGGGTTTGACAGTAATGTTGGTGAGCATGGGCTACTGAGAGAGACATCATTTTTTGATTGATATTTATCAGGTGGATTAGAAGCATTTGAAGGAAGCACATGGGAATTGGTAACAAACGTGTTGACGAGATTTTATTGTCTATGAACAATAAATAGCCTTCTGCCTGTTAATGGTGAGGAATTGGGGAGATGATTGTAGTTTGATTACCAGGAAATAGGCCCAAGGACATTGTGCTTTCTCTCCGAGGGCAAGGGAACTTCTTTGGCAATCTAGTTGTCAGCCTTAGGTCCAACCAGTCTAACAACCTAGGATGAGATCTGTGTGTGCTGAAGGTTCTTGTTCCTCTTCACATTGAGTTGGTGGTGATACAGAGGGAAAAAAAAAAAATCAGACAACAGTATGGGAAGAAGCCAGGTGAATTATAAGAAGCTTGATTTCACTTATTAGAAAAGGGGGTAGGTATATAATACTTTTTGAGAAATAAGAATAACTGGGCCTTATTAGAGCTTAGCCCACCCTGCAGTCTATCATACCAAATTTAGATGTAATTGGAGATGACAGCAAAAGGTCTCTGAGTTTTATGCTATGCATCTTGGCTGCTGTTCAGGAACTTTAGCTCGCTTAGGGAGGTTTCATGAGGATACACAAACTCCTGTGAGGAACCACAGATGAGTCACTGACTAGTGTGTGGGGTCCTACTGCCCCAGATTGTGTTTATAATGCTAACAGGCAAGCCAATGGAGAACAAGAGAAGACCCAGAGAATTCTAGTTAAATTCTATAGTCAGCTTTGACACCTTGGAAAACTCCCTTAGCCATTATGCTTTAATTGGAAGAGGACTGAAGAAATGCTGTCTTAATAATGAATTTTGTATAAGTCAAGTCTATCAGACAGAGTAAATAAGACCAGTTATCCTGCTGGAAACCAATGCAGGTATGGATACTAAGCCAAGGGTTTCCCAAGGTTAAAATACATCAATGATAATGATTTTGGTGTGCAATTTAGGGCTTTGCATGAACCCAAAATATTACAAGTTCATTGACTGAACTGTTGAGAAGCTGTTAGGTTGCCTGAAATTGAAAGTAAATGTGACTTGTTTACTCATGAGCTGTTAAGTAGGGTAAAATCTCACCCTTCATAGGATTGACGGTTGGATTGTGGAGTATGGCCTTTTCCTCTGCTGCCCCTTGTCAATCCCAACCTTACACCATAGTCTGCTTTAAGGAAAAAGATAATTATTGGTCTATTTGGATCATCCATCTGGGAATGCTGGGGAACTTTGGAGAGAACAGACACTTGAACTTTGATGGCTCTGTCAGATGAAGACATCAAATTCATGATCACATTTTCACATTTACATAGGGGAGGAAGTCATTGTTCAGTTGAAGGGATTTGGGCAGGGTTAAGAAGGGGGAAAGAAAACAAAAGTGGTCTTGTAAGTAGGATGCTTGGAAACAATTCAGTGGATTATTGCCTCATTTATGAATGTATAGTAAAAGCTGATGTGTGATGTGATTGGAATTCTCCATCCCTTAAGTGCTAGAGGGGATCATGTTGCTAAGGAAGAGCTTATGTATGAAGGTGCATATATGCATATAAGGTGCATATAACTTTGTGGGTTCTTTGAGCTTTAAATTTCTGTTCCTCAATATTTTGAAAATTGGAACTTCTGACAGTCAGCCTCAACTTGGAAGTGCCATTCAGGGTTTCAGATACCCGACTGCCCTGACAGAGCAACTATAAATCTTTTGAAAATCAGCTATTAACTTGCTGTAGAGTTGTTGAAACTTTATAGCTGAGGGAGGCCTTGTGACTCTCTGGCTTATAATTTCATTTTAGGAGGACAAGTTGGAATCAATGACTAACAAAGGAGGAAAATTTCAACATCACTGATCAGCTGGAAATAGCATACTCATCAAAGTCAACCTGTCCTTAGAACTAGTACAGCTTTTCAAAGAAACAAGTGTGGCTATCTGAAAGTTTTTCTTACCCTTTGTTTTTCCATTTCAGGAAACATCCCAGTTATCTGGACTCCCTGAGTATGTTAAAATAGTAGAAGTTGGACCTAGAGATGGATTGCAGAATGAAAAGGTAAGTTTACATTAGTTTTACACATTTTATTTTATTTTTTCATAGATTTATTTATGCATACAAGAACTGGGGTACAGGACAGAGGTTCCAGGAGGTGAGAGAATTCACTAGAGACAGAGTGGGGAACAGAACAGGCAGACTGACTGAAATACACTGCTGAGGGGAGCAGTTGTGAAGATAGGAGAGGTCTGCTGTGTCATGTGGCCGGAGTTGGAACTTGTGCTGCAGAAGCTGCGGATAGCTTCTTAGTGCTGCACCTTAACCCTTTGCATCACCGGGGGGGCCCCACAGTTTATTTTAAATGCTAACCCTAAACACTATTATTTATGAAGAATCTAAAACCTATGTGGAATTCATGTTACATGATTGTTTTTAGTTACAACTTGAATTGATAAATCTTAAAAAGGATTTCTTTTATAGTTAGGAAGTAATTTTCTATTTATGCTTCAATAGACCTATACAACTACTTATAAAAACTTTTAATGTTTTTATAGATTATAGTTCCTACAGATATAAAAATTGAATTTATCAATAAACTTTCCCAAACTGGACTGTCTGCAATAGAAGTGACCAGCTTTGTGTCCTCCAGATGGGTGCCACAGGTATGTAAATCTGTAAATCCTTAACTAGATCCTTCAAATTTGCCAAAATTCAGTAAACCAGGTAATAAACATTATTGTATCACTGATGCAATTATTAATTTGCTGTGTTCTTATAAAACATTAGCTATTGCACTGAGATATGACTAAAGAAAAAAATCCTTTGATGAAATGTCATATCAATTAGTCCAAAATGTTATTTGGAATTCCATACTAGACCAACTTGAATATATAGTCCAGTATAATGAGGAGAGTATAAGGTTCTTCAATAGCAAATTCACTAATCTTCTTTGTATTGATCATTTTACTGACTAGGAATAATCTCTTTTCCAAGTGTTTCAGCTCTTTGTTAGAAGGAAGTGATGATGAGTGATACCTTCCCCATGTAACCCTATATTCAAAAGTGAGAAAAATATATATATGAGATCTCTTCTAGCACTTATAATAGCTTTGCTGGAAGGAATATATACACACCTATGAGCACATATATGAGCACATATTTGCATATATCTATCCTTTGCATAGAACTTCGCTTATTACTTTCTTACCCCATTCCTGTGGTTTCCTTTTTTCCTGTGCTCTCCTGATCCAGTTACTTCCCCAATTGCTGTATTTTTCTGTCATCCCTGATGACAACTCACCACCACTTAGTTTAAGGTTCCCCTAAGATTTGGCTTTCAGTAACTTTTGCTGCCTATGCTCTCTTCTTTATCTAGCTGTCCCCATCAACAGTGTCTTGTATGACTGGCATATTTCTATTTCTTTGTCTCTTTGATAAGCCTCCTCTAGTCATGCCGCCAGGGCCTCAAACTCAATGGATTCAAAATGAAATTCATTCTTTTCTCCTTTTTTAAAGATTTATTTATGCTTACAAGAATTGGGGTACAGGCCAGAGTGTGGGGGGTGAAAGGATTCACCAGAACTGAGGATTCACAGAACAGGTGGACTGACTGAAATACCTGCTGAGGGGAGCAGCGGGAGAGACAGGAGAGGTCCGCTGCACCATGTGGGTCACGTCCCTGGCTGGGGATCAAACTCGTGTTGCAGTGGCTGTGGATTGCTTCATAGTGCTCTGTCTTAACCCCTAGCTCCACCAGGGAGGCCCCTCAAATTCATTATTTTCTACCCTGTTTTGTGTTAATAGCTCAGCTCTTCTCTTTGGAATCTTGGATTGAATTTTCAAAGCACTGTTTTCTGTATCTAGTGAGTGAGTTGAGTTGGTTACTGACTCAAAAATTCTTCACTATAACCTATAGTTGTCTCTTCATTTCCATGGGTACATTACTATCTACACCTTTATTGCCTGATTATTGTGGTAGTCTCCTAAATGATATTCATAAGCACTGTTTCTCCCTTATATATTTTGTCCATTGCTTCTAAAATAATCTTCCCAAAATACCAGTTTTCTCAAACTCCCATACTAGGTTCCCTTTCCCATTGAAAAAGTCTGGATACTTTGACTTGCTACTTAAGAAACTTACATACTTGGCCCTTTATTTCCTTTTCAGCCTTAACTCTATTTCCCTACTCCATTTTTTGAGGCCTGCCAAACCAACTGTTTCCGCCACCCCCCATTTACATGTCTTGCCTCATTATCTATATTGTGGTTTATTTATTTATTTATTTATTAAAATATTTATTTATTTTATTTATACAAGCACTGGGTATAGTCAGAAGCGCGGGAGGGTGAGAGAATTCACCAGAGCCAGAGCGGGGAGCAGAGCAGGCAGAAGAACCGAAGTACACTGCTGAGGGGAGCAGCGGGCGGCAGGAGAGGTCTGTGCGCCATGCAGGACCCTCCTCCAGTGGCCGGGGAGCAGCCAGGGATCGAACTGGCGCTGCAGAGGCTGCGGGCAGCTTCACAACCTAGCGCTCAACCGCTGCGCCTCCGGGGAGGCCCCTATATTGTGTTTTATCTATACTTGCTAATATACATATCCCTGTCTGCATTGCTCTGAAGTTACAACATGATGTTGTAAAACATTAAAACCTTTCTAAATGCAAGACATAGGTAGCAACAGAAGCCAAAAATAATATTGATAGTAATATGTTGTCCTTCAAAGAGTCAGTATTCAAATGTCAAAACTTTCTTTTTTATCAAAAACTTTCTTTTTTATCTGTCATTATTGTTCATCATATAAATCTCCCAAAATATTTTCCAATTACCTACATCCTAAAATGTGAAGCTAGTGATTTGTGTACATTTATCACTATCTCCCCAGTTCCTCGCCTCAACCCCTGTATTCAGAGACCAGTGAGTAGGTACTCTGTAAATGGTTGTGACATGAGTAATGACTCAATCAGTCACTGCTAAAATAATAACATACTGTTTTCAGTTACTTGGGAATGAAATTCAAAAGTGTTTTCCTTTGGAAGACACAAACACATTCATTTGATAATATTTTTATATTGTTATAGGTGTTATTATTTCACTAGTCATTCATTTTAAGGGAATTTGACAGTCTTATCAACTTAAAGTTTTCGTTTAATACAGTCAATGCTTATTTTACATACCTGATCATTGCTGGAGAAAGATAGATTATTATAACTTTAGGGTTACTGTTATGAAAGAATGGGTTTTGGTTATATTAATTGATGGGCAACTAAAGTTTGATTTCAGATATTTTTTATTGGTAGTCAATTTCAAAGTACTTTTATTCTCTACAATCATGTAGAATTGCCTACAATGATGGGCCTTTACCAGTGATGTTCTTGGTAGCTTTCTAATATTATACAATACTGGAAATTATTTGCTATTTTATTCTTCAGACTGATCAAGGGCACACACAGTGATATTTATAAGGACTTTAAAACACTTTCTAGAGGGCCACAATTTTTGCAGAACTAATTAAAAGAAAATATGTGCAGAAAAGGAGAGGCAGTCCTTCTCTGAACAGAAATAGGATCTTCTGACCTCACATTAAGTAGTTACTTGTGAAGAGATCATAAAATAATATGATTTATTCTGGGCTTGGACCTGAGTTGAATTTGGGATTTAACCTAATGAGATTTCATGAATTTTTCCTGGACTCAATGTATTATTGAACAAATGACAGAGTTCTCCAGAGCACCTTGAGAACAGTTACAGTGAGATAGACGCACCTCTGGTTCTGCGTCCCTGTCTGCATTCCACCTTAAGCTTAAGTAAGAGAGTTAATCTCTTTGAACTTTGGAAACCCCAAAGCACTGGGAGGCATGTGAATGGGTCTCTGTGTGTGAATGTGCAGAGTCCACGGAACCTGGCTCCTGACCAGTGCTCAGAAGTGATAGCTAAGTGAAAACCTAACTAAAGATGGGCTGACTATACTTATCCTAGACTCCAGACAATTTATCCTACTTCTTTTTGATAAACAGACTTTTTCTTAAAAATTAAAGTGCATGTTTAGTTTAAATATTGGATGGGCCCATTCTATAATTAAAGATTCTCATCTTTCAAATACAAAAGAGTAGATATTTCATTTTTATTGAGCCAACATTGGTTTATAACACTGTATATGATTCAGAAGTATAAGTTTATACCTCTTAAGATGGATGTTACCACCCCACCACCATGGCACCCATAACCTTCACCATAGTCTGTTAGGCCCCTATACCTCCTTCCTCTCTACCCTGCCCCTCTCCATCTAGTATTACCAATTTTACAGTCAGATTTGTAGGTTTTTTTGTTTCATTTTGTTTTGTTTTACTTCATTTTGTGTGACCCTTTGTCTGGTTTCTCTATATTCCACATTTGAGTGAAACCATCTGGTATTTGTCTTCATCCTTCTGTCTCATTTTACCTAGCATAATTCCCTCCAGTTTTTTCCCTGTTGTCACAAATGGCAAGAGTTCATCTTTTTTATAGCCAAGTAGTGTTCCATTGTGTATATACCATACTCTTAAATGTATTTCAAACCAAAAACGTGTCTTAAAATAAACCACATATAGGGCCTCCCCAGTGGTGCAGTGGTTGAGCACTGAGCTGCGAAGCTGCCCGCAGCCTCTGGAGTGCCAGTTCGATCCCTGGCTGCCACGAGGGTCCCACATGGCATGGCAGACCTCTCCTGCCGGGCCCGCTGCTCCCCTCAGTAGTGCATTTCGTCAGTCTGCCTGTTCTGTTCCCCACTCTGGCTCTGGTGAATTCTCTCACCCTCCCGCACTTCTGACTGTACCCAGTGCTTGTATAAATAAATAAATAAATCTTAAAAAATAAATAAATAAACCACATACAGAGCAGGATGCCTGAGTCAAAGATACTATGAGACTCATCTTCCTAATTTATACCAATCACTTAACTACATAACATAAAAGCATTTGTAAAAAGACAATATTGAGAATATCACCTTTTGCAATTTGATTTTATGTAGCTCTTTTGTATTTTAGATATGCTTGCCTGAGTAGAGCATTTTTTTTTTATTGTAGTTGGAGGTTCCTCATTATGTAACTTCTGATTTTATTGTTTTTATGCTAGCACAGGAAATCTTAAATCAGCAGAACTAATTCACAGCTTTAATTTCTCTTTGATATTTTATATTATTCTTTCATTTTTGAAGAAAATCTTATCAGATTTGTTTAGCTTAAAATATTGTCTGAAGCTTATGACAGAATCATCTTTGTACAACAGCGTAATTGCAATTATCTGAAATAATTTCTACTTCTAAAAATCACATCTCATAAGCAAAACAACCAGTGAATCCAACAGACATAACGTTGAGTTGGAAAAATCCAGAGAAGGAAGAACACGTACAGTTCAACTCTACTTACATGAAGTTCAACATGAGGCCATGCTAATCTATGGCGATAGACATCAGTCTAGTGGTTACCCCTGGGAAAGTAACATTGAGAAAGGGAAGAAGGGAGACTCTTAGGGGGTTGAACTATTCTCTATTTTGAATTGGGCAGGTGAGGGTCATGGGCATTAATGTGTGGAATTTTATCAAGCTGGACACTTCAGTTTAGGCATATCACTGTGTTAACATCATGTTCCTTAGACAGTTTTAAAGTAAAATGAAAATAAAGACAAT